CCAGGCTGGCCTCGAACTCACAGAGATCCGCCTGGCTCTGCCTCCCGAGTGCTGGGATTAAAGGCGTGCGCCACCACCGCCCGGCTAAAAACAATTCTTAACACAGAATCTGGCAAATACTATGACAAGGCTTATGGAGTGCTTGATATAGAGTAAGACCAGTGGAAATAGAGTGTTTGACACAGAGCATGAAAAATACTAACAGAGTGCTTGTCACTCAGTCAGAGCAGTGATAATAGAGTGCTCCACAAATGGTGAAAACAATGCTTATTGAATGGCACAAAATGAGAACCATGGTTTTACAGTGTTTACAATGGTTAAAAAAAACTAACCAGTTTTGTAATTTGAAATAACCAGGTTTTGGTGTCCGTAGAGATGTTTCAACAGTGAAAGGCACCTGCTGCTTTTCCTGAGGCCTTAAGTTGTGCTCCAAGCACCCATACTGGGCAGCTCACAACCATCCATAACTCCATATCCAAGACACCCAATGCCTTCTTCTGATCTTTATAGGTACCCATACTCAAGTGGCATACACATGCACAAGGCAACCATATGCATACCCCTAAATGAAAATTCAAATAAATCTCACAAAAACTCAAAAAATCAGAGAAGAGGCTTCAGAATGTGCTTGGCACAGAGTAAGAATACTGACGCTTAATTCTTCATTGTAGGAAATTTTCCTTTTATTTGACATATAGGATTCCAGAGTTGTTCCTATAATACTGAAAGACCAGCAAATTCTTCTCACCAGCTTTTCCCCCTGTTTTTTGGATGAGACAATGGGAGAGAAGAAAAAGAATTGCAAGAGAGTCCCCACCAATGGTCATCCAGTCATCAACTCATCTTATTACCCAGCAAATCCTACATACTGCCCTTCTGCCCCACTTCAGAGCCTGTATCTACCCAAAACCATTTACTCAGGTCACAGTGAGTGCACAACATGGTCTCTGTGTGGCCTGCACATTGAAAACTGATCTGACCTTTGGGAACCTAGAGCACCACAGGTAGGGAAGGACCCTAATATACAGAATAGAAGTAGAAAAAGCATGGGATTTTTCATTAAGCCTGAATGTTATACAGGCTTAGATTGTGTGAAGAATTAGATAACATGAATGAATTGGGCAAACAAAGGACTATATCATAGTAAAAATGTCCATTTTCAAGGTGTAGGAAAGGTATCAAAAGTTGACTTACAGGTTAGTTATTTTCGTCATCATCACTGCTTTCTTCAAATATTAGGATACGCTTTCTTTTTTGCAGTCTTGGTTTCCTGGCCCTCTCATGACTCCTCTTGGGTCCTGGTGTGAGGAAGAGTTGCTAAATGAGAGCTACTTCTGCGGATAAGTGTTCTTCCTTGTTTTATCAGGCAAGCAGAGGACTGATCCCACACATAGGGCTATAGGCCTTCTCCATGTTGTAGTCTGATATTTCCTGGCTCAGAGAGTTCAACTTTCGAACAGCACTAATACCACCCAAATGTTATTTCAGATATGTACATCTGCCCTTTCATTGTCAGGTTCATATAGATTTCCCATCACACCCTTCACTAGTACAGTTTCCTGTCCATCTTTCATTTAGCATGTTTTTGTGAATGAGGTGTTACATATCACACACTTAGCAGAAAAATATATTGTCTCGATTTTCCTACAGAGATAATTATGTAAGCAACTGTCAGGTTGTGAGGCCATTTAGGTTTAGTGGAAAGCTTGAAAGAATTTACAAACAATGACTCTAATTACATCCTTTGGAGGAAGGATCTGAAAGAGAGCATGTATAAGATTTGTCACATGTGTCATGTGGCTTATACATGAAGGACAAGTCAGAGCATGATTGTCAAGTCCTGTTCTAACCTCTGAGATGTATGGATAGCTTTTTATATCCTGTGTTTGTATAGAGCCCATGCCCACACCCAGACAACAAGATAGAACAGAACTAAGAAAGCCAGTGGATGTTTCCCCATTGATTTCCTCACCTGTTGTCATCTTACTGTTTCTCTGAGACACACTTGCTTTCTCTTGGGTGTCCAGGCATCTCTGAGCCCTTTCTGAGCCATGTACACCTGACACTCTCTTTTGGCAATTTCCTTTCCATCCTGCCTCCTTCTGCATCTTTCAAATATTAAGGGAACATGTAAAATATATCAGTGGCAATCCCCCTGTGCTTTAGAGTTTACAAAACACCTTTGCATTCAATTTTGTTTTCCAAAGTTTTTTAAGCATGTGTCATTTCATTATGACATTTTCAAAGATGTATGAATATATTATGAAAACATTCACTCCCCATTAACTTCTCTTGACTGTCTTCCATTCAATGTTGATGCCCTTCCTCATCTTAACTAGTTTGATCTCTACTTTCCTGTTGAAAAACTCAATGAATTTTATCAGGATTGCCTAGCAGAAACATGAGTATATGGTTATTTACACTGCAAGTACAATTTGCCTGTGTCAACAGACAGCACTATATAATATGTCTCCCACTCACCAAGTAATTCTGCACGCAATTCTTTTGATTCTCCCCTAGAAACTGTTAAATTGTCTATAAATTGTTTGTTTGGCAGAATGGAGCCTGGAAAACACCTCTTTATAAGCCAAAGTGCACAGATCTTGTTTGTGTATTTTCTTAGTGTGCTTCCTCACATCTTGGAAATTATCTCATTATTGAACCTGAATTAAGAGGAACTCAGAAGTTTAAAGGGGTAAAGAATGGACTAAATGAACAGTGTTTCCAACACTAAAATGTTCTTTATCCTTCTTCCAAACAAATACTCATGAAAACTTAAATGATATTCATATAAATGGGAGTGTGATATACATAAAATTTGGGAAGGAAAAAGAATGGAAGAATACACAGTATCTCTGAAGGATTGGAATTCTAGGAAATACAGGTCTTCACACATAAACTTGTGGAATACTATATGGACAGTAAAAGAAATATAAGTAGATGGGAGAAAACACTATATACCAGGATTTTATGTGGAGATGATGTACAGAAATGAGACTAAAGAAATGAGCCACAATAATCTAGGCATCAAAGAAAAATAGTCTTTATACCTAATTCTAATGGTAACACTGCATGTGGAACTAGACAAAGTGAAACATGTAGCAATTCTGCTTAGGTCAAGAGGTGTCATAGGCCACTAATCCTGGGCTATATTTCATTCAGTTTGTTCATTCATGGTGTAGAGAATCCATGTACAACTTGATGAAGAGATCATATTCTAGCTTATTAACACTTTATTCTTTTTCTTTTTTGTATGTTTTTGATTTGAGAGATTTCCCTACATACCCTACAAAGGTCTCAGTGTCATGATCCCACACAGTCCTGATATTATATGCATGCCCCAGCAACAGGAGATAAAAACATGGTTGAATGACATAATAATAAAGTTGAATGCTTTATTTTATGATACTTTTTTTGCATTTATCCTTCAACTGTTTCCTTGCTGGCCACCAACTTTCAGATCCATTAAATCCCTGTAGAAATTATTGGATTCTACAGCAGTGGAAACTTGCACTTCATAAATAGGTGCCTCTGAGACTGGGACTATGGATAAGAATGTTAAAAGATGTAGAGAGTGTCTTGAAGGAGATCACAGTTGGAGTAGCTACCACTGAAAGCCCTGTTATTTCCAGTCATTTGAGAGACCAATTCACAGAGTAGAGCCTAGCTCCTGCTTCTTATTTGGAAAATACATGTTAGAATGGAAGTATCAGCATCTTCTGTGGGAGAATACCAAAAGGAGGCCTCACATTGGCCTTAGAAACCAATGAAAACATCTCAGTATTCTGGGCTATGGATTATAAACTTGGTGGAATTGCTGCTCAGGCCAATGATTTCACATGTTTAGGCACAAGAACCTCATCCTCAATATTATCAATAAACCATGCGCATATATTCATTATTATTTGAAAAAAACAACTGTCATAGCTTTCTTAAGGATCCAAGAAATTAACTGGAATGAGTTCACTAAAATAATAATAAGAAATGGTGTGATTCAGACCACTTTCCATGGTACTAGAAATTAAACCCAGGACCCTATTCATACTAGGCAAATGCTCTGTGACTGGGGAATGATTCTGGGCCTGCAAGTGATATGACAACTAAGGATGTATTACTTATCAGAATCATTCATTGTTGATTATTATTGTACTGTATATGCTACATCAGGCATTGTGAAGAAGAGGGCAGGAAGTCTGTAGAAATTTCCTTAGTGATAGAATGCTTGGCCAACAGGTGTCAAGCCCTGTGATCCATTCTCTTTTCTGAAAACTGTAAATAAAGGAAGAAAGAAACAACAAAGGAAGGTAGCCATAAGGAGAAAGAACGGAAAATATAAGAACGACACAGAAAAGGGAAGAAAACAAAGTGATAAGCAGAGCAAAGGTGTGGGAGCTGGGCATTTCATATCTTCCATCCTCACTAATGTGAATATGAACTGAGGAACAAATGTGGTAAAACCTTATAGATACTGGGAGATACTCACCTTCAGGCCTTTTGTCTGTACAGTGCCAAATATCCTCTCAGAATGTTCATCTGCAGAAGCGTGACAAATTAGAAGGTGTTGCTTGTTAGTAAATATTTTCAGTTAAGGCTCTTGCAGCTATTCTGAATACTAGGATGGAGGGTTACAGCCCATTGATGGATAATAAGTAGAGCATGGCTTCTATTTACTAATGCCTTGCCAATTAAAAATTCAGCTCTGAAAGCTCCTACTGTTACTTTATAAAATGTGGGCTAAGCTTCATCATAGCTTTAGTTATTATGTTAGTATGTTATTTTTATTTTCCCCATAGCATTAAATGGGTTGCAGAAACATTTGAATCATTTGCACTTAGAGAGGTAGAAAAATGAAAAAAAAAATCCTTTCACTTGAAATGAGTGAATCTTCATGTGTTTAATGTGTGAGAAAGTGTGGGTTTTTGGGCCCAGTATTATTGAATTCCTCCTAGTATAGTAATTCTACTTTAGGATCAAATGCTTTGTATAAATACAGGACCTGGACTTTGAGGTCAGTTTTAGCATTGTAGGAGATTGAACAATCCAATCGGGCCTGCTTTCTTGAGGAGTCACAGGTCTGTGGGACACAGGACATTTTGACTCACTTTACAAGTTTTATGTTAGAGCAGAAGAGCAAGTGAACTCATCTTGTCTTCTGTCTCCTGATTATACATGTTCTTCTAATAAATAAGGATATGGATTCTTTTTATCATGTGCAGGGTATATTCCCTGACTATATCCTAGAAATCCTCTCGTCTCCTTTTCTCTCCCAGCCCACTGTGTATGTGGTGTGTGTGTGTGTGTGTGAGTGTGTAGTGTGTCAGTTCTTGTTAGGATAGTGCTATTCCAACTAAACCCATTATATATTTCCCATCTACTCAGTATCCACAATAATGCACATTTTTTTTTAATATTTTAGAATTTTATATGCCAGGTTCTTCTACGTAATTTTCTGAATAAACTCCTTTCCACTCAGCTCTGACCTGAGGAAGGGAGACAGTGTCTGTGACCTTTCCAAGCATTTGATTGAAAAGACAATCCTCCACAGCCCCTCCCTGCCCACTCACCATCACTTTCATGACCATAATCTTCATCAGATTCTTTCATTAGGGATTCCTTTCCACGCATGAAAACTGGTTGGTTGACTTTGACCCCTAGGAGGAAGCTAAGTGCTTTTTAATTTAACAGAGACAAAAAGTGGAGAAGTGCAGGAAAGGTGCTGGGATTCAGCCCAGACAGTAAGGTTCAGCAGGCCAAAAATCTTCAGGCAAGGAAAGTGCAGGCTACAGACCTGAGCCCTGTGGTGGCTGATCTCTGCCTTTACCTTTGTACAGGTTGAAAAAGAACAGGATACTCAGTGAGCACCTTTACCTTTCTCCACAAAGAGAATGAACATATGGGAGAGAGATCTGTTACAGGCTGAGATGAAGCCATAGCATGAAAAGGGACTTGGAGACACCCAGGCTTGGCTAAACCAACCAACCAACCAACCAACCAACCAACCAAACAAACAAAAACTTCCTTTTACCTAAGCCTGTCATTCTGATGTAGTTTCTTTTCATAAACACGTAAGCACTTTTCTGCCATTTAGTCAGCTTTGCCCATTCTTCCTCAGAGAAGTATTTGGAAATATCCCTGAAGGACTAGAAAAGAGAAAAATAGAAGCTCTGACAGCTACTGGACATGTGGGCCATTTAGCCCAGACTTCATTCTTTGTAGTGAGAACATGGTGGTGCATCTAGAATCTCAAAACAGTCTGTCCTGAACAATGTGAAGGCCACATGTGAGACACAGCAGCACCTTCTTCCCAAGGAAACCTGAGGTACTCAGTCTTGGCTTCTTGTTCTCCACCCATATTTATAAATGTTTGAAATTCACCCAAAAAGCATTGTTCCAGATCACCATTCTGATATCTTCAGGGCTGCTGTAGAAGGACATGCTGGATGTGTGTGTGTGTGTGTGTGTGTGTGTGTGTGTGTGTGTGTGTGTGTGTGAGAGAGAGAGAGAGAGAGAGAGAGAGAGAGAGAGAGAGGCGTCTGGAGACTTCTGTATGTCCTGTGGAGAAACTATTCCTTCTATTCTTTGTCTCCTGTGACGCTATTCCCTCTTTATGTATTGTCCCATTAAGCTTGTGCCCAATCCCCATCATGTCACTTACCTTGGACATCTTCTCTGGTTTACAAGTATCTTCTGCAGGGCTTTTTGTACAGGAAGTATCTGTCTTCATGACACTGGGAACAGTGTAATGTTGAAGATTGTGAACTGACTGTCTCCAGGCACAAGACCAAATGTCCTGTAGAGGAAGATAGTGTGGAGGAAAGGTTACACTCAGAGCCTGGAATTGGATTGTGTTCTTATCTCTGGGATAATACGTACTGAAGATGTTTGAGAGAAGTAGTTGTTAGGAATAAGGATTTTATCGGCATGTATGAAGTTACTCTGAGTACCTGAGAGTGGGTCAGTTACTGTCCTGACTACTTCCCCTGAAGTGTATCTTAAACTGAAGAGAAAAGAGAAAGTTGTTGGGTTTGGCAGACACAGACATAACATGTTCCCACCTATTTGTGGAAAGTGAAAACTGATTTCATAGAAGAATGAAAGAGTTGTCACTGGAAGTGGGTGATGGGAAGTTCAGTAGAGGAAGATAAAATTATAAGTACCAGATACAGTTACAGAGTTAGAATAACTTTGAGGTTTTTTTCATTCATTGATTGTTTATTGTGTGTGCCTGGAGGATGGGTACATTTTTTGGGGGTGGAGGATGTGTGCCATAATGCATATACATTTGAGAAGACAACTTAGAGGTTTTTTTTCATTCCAGCTACAAAAAAAAGATAATATAATGCTTTATTTTCCAGGATTTTGGAGCCATTTCAGGATGAACAGAAAACAGTAAACCATGCTAATGCCTTTCTGTGTGGTCTTTCCCCTCTGTGCAACTCTGATACTCTTCCCCCACCCAAACTACAAACTAAGAGTAGAAATTTACTAACAGCCAGGCTTGTCTTCTAGGTGTGTGTCTGGTGAGATTTAAAAGAACAAGTTGTGAAATATAGAAATGAAACCAGACATGTTTTGTTTCTTTTTGAGAAAAACAATAACTGTAATTAACAGAGGGAAAGATAAGAAGACCTCAATTGTGTATAAGATTCTTCTGATTACTCCAGAAGATGAAGGAAAACTCATGCATGGGATTTATCACCATTCTGATATCTTCAAGGCTGTTGTAGAAGGACATGCTGAAAGTGTGTGTGTGTGTGTGTGTGTGTGTGTGTGTGTGTGTGTGTGTGTGAGAGAGAGAGAGAGAGAGAGAGAGAGAGAGAGAGAGAGAGAGAGAGAGAGAGAGAGAGAGATCTGTTCTCTTCAGCGTGCCTGCCCACTCTTCTGGGCTGACATCCAACTTTATAAAGTTGTAAATACTTTGCATTGAGAATCACTCTTTTTACACATTTTCACTTGGGATCTTAGGACCCAGGTCATGTTGCCAGGCTTGCCCAACAATCACCTTTACAAAGTCATTTCATTGGCTCCAGTTCTATTGTTTCACAGTACAACTAGGAACTATAGTTTATAATCATTTTTGGAGAATTTAATAAAGAAGCAAGAGAGAGATCAGGTCTAGTATTCTAGGCCTGTAATCTGAGATAACTTGGAAGCTGGAGCAGGATCATGACATGTTCCAGGCCTACCTCAGCTACTGCTTGAAGTCAGAGTCAGTCTGGACTTTGTAGTTAGAACCTGTTTCAAAACAACAGTTTAAAGGAGGCTGCAGACTGATGGAGGTATTTTCTCAATTGAGATTCCTCCTCCCAAATAGCTTTGTTTTTGTCAAGTTGATATAAAATTCACCAGTACAAAGGACAATTTTTTTCACTTCTAGCATTGTTTCCTCTTAGCAAAAGCATGTTCTTTTTTATTTAACACTGCTTCATTTATTTTACATACAGACACATACAGACCATAATTTCCCCTCCCTCCTTTCTTCCCATCCCTTACCTCCCATCTACACCCCTCCCCATCCACTCTTCCTCCTTCTCCATTAAGAAAGGGGTAGGCTTCCCTTAGACTTGAACATCAAGGTGAGTTAGGCCCAAGCTCCTCTCCTTGCATCAAGGCTGGGCAAGGCATTCCAGCATGGGGAAGAGGTTCCCAAAAGCCAGCTAAGCACCAGGGAAAGGTCCTGATCTCACTACTAGGAGCCTCACAAACAGACCAAGCTACACAATTGTCACACACATGCAGAGGGCCCAGGTTGGTCCCATGAAGGCTCCCTAACTGTTGGCCCAGTGTCCATGAGCTCCCACAAGCTCAGGTCTCAGCTGTCTCTATGGGTTCTCCTGTGATAACCTTAACCCCCTTGGCTCAAACAGTCCCTCCCGTGCTATTTTCAGCAGGAATCCTAGAGCGTGGCCCAGTGCTTGGCTGGGGATTTCTGCATCTACTGTTCTTATCTGTGCATCAGAAGACAGGCACTCTACAGGCAGAACTGTCATTTTTAAATACTGATAGCAGCAGTCACTAGTGTAAAATTTGGCAGTTATTAAAAATTCAAGAATGCTCATATGCATACACATACCCTTTAAAGACTAATTTGAAACTTAAGGAAAGTTGTGAGACAGTCATATAACTTTATATCCCTTCATCAAATGCTACAGCTGCCACTATTTCACATTTGCTTCATTGTCTTCCCTCTCTTATGACCAATCTTTCTCTCACTCACTTGAGAGAAAGTTGTAGACAAGAAATTCGGCCACTTTTCTAAATAACTACACTTGTACTATCCAAAGAAAATTTGCAATATCAAGAAAACACCAGCATCAAGATGCCATGTAAATTTGCCAGCTAACCCCCACAAGGTCTCTCTTTCCTTTCTGATCCAAAATCTAATGGCCACTGCATTTAATTGGTGTCTCTTTTGTCTCCTTCAGCTTGAACAGTTATCAGTCTTTGTTATCCTGCACAGTTTTAAATGATAAAGGTGTTCATTTTGGTAGCATGGGTCCACTCTGTCTGTAGGGTATTTTCTCGATTAATGGTTGCCATGGGAAGACCCAGCTCAAAAGGAGTTGTGCCACCCCTGGGCAAGTGGTCCTGGGCTGTATAAGAAAGATAGCTAAGCATGGGGAGCAGGCAGTAAGCAGTGTTTTTCCATGGCTTCTGCTTCAGTTCCTACCCTGTCTTTACATGAAGTACTGTGAACTGTAAGGTAAAACAAACATTTTCCTCCTCAAGTTGCTTGTGGTCATGGAATTTATCACAACAATAGAGCCTAACTAGATCATCTACTCTTGGGTTTCTCCTCTCTCTACCTCCTTTTCTCCCCTCTCTCCAACTCCTTTGCTCCCTTCCGACTCCAACATGTTTTTGTGTGTGGTCAAATGTATATACGTGCATGGAGGCCAAAGGAAGTCAAATATACTGCTCTATCAATATCTGCCTTATTCAAAGACAAGATCTCACAAGATCTGGAAATAGTATGGGGACCAGCAAGCCCCCATGATCCTTCTGTTACCACCTTTCCTCATAGTGTCAGGGTTCCAGATGCATGCAGCTATGCCAAACTTTTTACATAGGTGCTGAGAACCAAACCCAGCTCTTCATGCTTGCGCAGAGAGTACCTATACCCAGCAAGCCATTTCTCCAGGACCTTCATTGCAGATCTTTTGGGCCTTATATTAGGACCCAAATTTTCCCATAAAAATGTCTATACCCTTTTCCAAACACTGTGTAAAATCAGCCAGTGGTGCTTGAACTGGCCAATAAGGAATACAACAAAGTAAAAAAAAAAAAAAAAAGAGCCTGCAGATGCAGCTTAGTAGTTGAGTCCTGGCCTAGTGTATGTGAGGCTCTGTCTTTATTCCCCAGTAGTGCCAGAAGTAGTGGAGAAGGGAAGTCAGAACATGTAAATGATATTTAAATATGATTTATCCACATATATGCATATATTGAAGAATCACACTGCCTTCCATTTGTGCTATTATTGCATGTCACTTAAGATAAATTGTCAATGAAAACCAGAACAAATCCTTCTTTGGAAGCCAGGCTTGGTGGTGCACACCTGAAATCCTAGTATAAAGATGCTTCAATAGGAGGGTGGAGAGTTCAAGGCCACCCTAGGCTACATTTTTTTAAGCGTCATCAAAAAAGCAATACAAACAAAAATGAAAATAATTGGAGTTGATGAAGTGAGCATTCAGGGTTTTTTTTGGGGGGGATTCATTCATTTCCTCCCAAAACAGAGAAAAATGAATTAATTTTTATAAAACAAATTACTTTCCCTTTTATTAAATGAAGCATTTTATGTCTTTCAAAAATGTATTCTTTTAATTAACTTTCTGTACCTAGCATCTGAAATGTTGACTTTCATTATGATATATTCATTATACTTTTCTTACATTTCACCTGCCATTGTCCTTTGCTGTGGCCTCCTCCCCTTCTTAGTGCTCCCGTTGATTTTTCCCTTTCATTCCCCCTTTTACTTTTTCTGTCTTTTAGATAAATACTGTTAAATGTAGACAATTCATCACATGAAAAACAATCTGAAGTATTTCTCTTTTTACCATTACAATCACTGCTATAAGTTAACACCCACTAGTTTTGTTCTTTATCAGTAAAGTTTTAATGTATTATGTAAATAATAAAAAATTCTACTCAACACAAGAATTTGCACATATTTCTGGGCACATACTGAAACTTCCATTCATGTGCATGCATAATTAGGTATGTAATCTTGATTTTTTCTGTTAAGACAGAGTATGTTTATGATGGTAAGTGAACAGGAAAACTCTGATCTCAAAGTGCTGTGCTTCAGAATCCCACCCCATGTATAGTGTGTGTGTGTGTGTGTGTGTGTGTGTGTGTGTGTGTGTGTGTGTGTGTGTGTGTCTGCAGTCATGTTTTGTAGTAAAGTAGTTCTGATTACCAAGGCTTGAATGGGAGTGTGATTTTTTTGACAAGGAAAGGAATATATGCCTCAACTTTGCAGAAGAGAGGTAGATCTACTTTGAATGGTTTGGGGAGTTATTAACTGTGTTAATTTTGAAAGTAATAGAGTAAAGAGAGCTATGATCCCCAGAGAAGATGGTGGAATAGTCCCTTACATGATTTTGGCAGTACCTCTGATTAAGGAACACTCCAGGAATTTGGTTGATATTGAATTTTATGGGGCTAAGAATACTGCTCCCTTTAGAAATATGCCACAGGAATCTGTTACATAAGACAGGATCCGTGAGGTATTGTACAGAGCTCATTTCTAAGAATTGAGGATTGCTGAAGCAACAAAAAAGACACAAGTATAAGGGTGCTCTACATAGGCTCCCAGGTTTTTCACCAGGTTTTCACTTCATGGAGTAATGTTCAGAAAGAACCTACCTCAAACACAAAGATGGGGGAGTGTTTCTCTAGGAAGAAACCAAGTGTCTTGATACAGCTGCCCCACAAGGATCAGCAAACCAAGACAGTCAGTGCCCTTGAACTACTCAGAAAAATGGGTGGAGCAAATGAGGTAAGAATGGGGTGCATTAGTACAGGCTTTAGGGAGAGAAAGTACTTCACAATAAGGGTGTGGTCCCTGGATGTTCCCACCTAAATTATCATCTTTCTTCTCCATGGCACTAGCTACTTCACAGTCCACTGAGCTGTTGAAATAGATGTTTCTAAGCTTTCCCACATTTTTCTTTATGTCTAGATCAACATCATTCCATCCTTTACTGTACATTATCTAAAGATATGATCTATATGTCAAGGTTCCAAGTCTCAAATCCTTCACCTTTCTTCCATAGGTGATCTAGCTTAACATCTCTTGAAATAACCTTACAAACTTTTAATAATTTATAAAGGACATATTAATGCCTTAAAACACTTATATATGTGCATTTTTCTCAAAGTCTGAAGAACCTGAAGTGTATGGCAATTCCCAATAGTAGTAAAGAAAGTGCATGTGATTCTGTGATCCTTGGTTAGTTTCTAAGTAACTGCAAGAAAGTCTTCCCTATCCAAGTAACATGTGAAAACAATGACCCTTCTATGTCTTCCAGGATTTCCTTCTATAAATCAGATCTGTAAGTGTTATAGCTAGGATTTCCATAGGTATTCTGGCAGTCAGGAGCCAAGGTACACCACAAAGTCACTGTAAGTATAGAAGCTTACAGCACTGCTCCAGGGAAAGGGTTCCCCAATACAAGTGTAACAACTTTTCTCTGGCAAGGGAGGGTTTCCCCAGTGAAGTTGTTACAGCTCTGTTCCACTAAGGGAAAGTTTCCCTAGCAAAAGTGTTACAGCTCCACTCTGCATGGGCTGTGGCGAAAGTGTCACACCACACAACAAACCTCACTCAAAAGCTTTATTGGGAAGGAAAAATCCAGGAGATTGGCTGCCTCAGGTGAGAAGCCGAAGCAAACTGAACGGGGTACAGAGCTTATATATGGTTTCTGGGTAGGACAGATCTTTTCAGGGTGGCTTGGAATTAGTGTATTTTTTGTGGTCTGATGATGGGACAAACTCAGGGATTAGTGGAATTCTGTGCTCAGGGATTGGTGGGATTCTGCAGCCTGGCTCTGGGGGCAAGCTCAGATATTGGTAGTATTTCAAGCCCTGGTCCTGGGGACAAGTCAGGGTCAAGGTTTTTTTTTCCATGGACATTTTCACCCTACAAGATCTACCAGTGTTGCCCTTCTCAGAGAGACAGTGTCCATTTTTCTGACAGGAAGAGAATCCAGGATCCTTGAGCTTTACCATAAGCTTTTCTCTGCCTTATCTGTTTGACTTTATTTTTAAAATGATTTTTTTGCTTTCTTCTTATTAATTTTTAGGTTAGAATAAACAGCAATGAGTTTCCTCATGACATCTTCATGTCACTGAGTCTATATCTTACAGATTATGACAGACTGAGCATCAAGTGCATTCCATTTCTCAGTGCTATGGTCACAGTGCTATGGTTGCAGATATGTGTTGTTCTGCCTAGATTTTACATGCATAATGAGTATATAAATTCAGTATCTATGCTAGGCCAACAAGCATGTTACCTACTGACTCATCTCTCAGATCCCAACACTTCCTCAACCAACCTAATCAGTTTATTATTTCAAATTTCAGATTCACTTAAAATTTCAAGATGAATAGAACACACACACACACACACACACACACACACACACACACACACACACACACACAGAGAGAGAGACAGAGACAGAGACAGAGACAGAGAGACAGAGAGAGAGACAGAGAGACAGAGAGAGAGAGAGAGAGAATGTAACTTCACCAATTCCTGAGAGAGTTTTCTGAAACCACCTGAGCATGACTTTTACTGCCAACATTTATTTCTAAATTCAGGTCTTTAAATGTCTCAGCAAAATTTCCAATTAATCTCTGCTTATAAGAGTATAGATTTCTTGGGCCTGGAGTTACAAAGCCATAAACATTCTTTATACTAACTAATTTCAAAGGCTGAAGAACTTCACATCTGTGTTTATCGTAGCATCAGTCTCACTTCTGAATGAGAATGTTCTGTACTAACATACTACACTGTATGATGAAATCCTTGGTGGATATGCCCAAGATGAGAAAGGATTTATTTTGATTCACAGCAAAAGAACACAAGTTTATTTTCAAGCAGGATGCTTGAAAGCTAAGGATCTTTCTGTGGTGGCCTGGGCTTGTGGCATACTTCATTTATTCCGTGACAGTGGCTCTGAAAGCAGAGCACTTTGACAGAAAAGGGATTCTACCTGTACCCATTAAGCATCCTTATGGTTCAATGCCTAATCCCCATGTCCAAAAGGCTTCACAACAGCACCACTGGTTGAAGCACAAGGGTCCAACACATGAGCATCTTGGTGAACATTTCATATTCAAACCATAATAGTACCCACATTTATTGAGCTTTATGCACACAGGGACATTTGGGATGTTTCCAGTTTGGGGCTATTATAAACAAGGTTACTCTACAAACTTCTACACAAGTTTTGTATGTACCTTGGTTAACAATGTAGGAATAGAGTATAGATCATCTGCTAGGTGTGTGGCTAGGTTTCTGTGAAATTGCCTAACTCTTTTACAAAGTGTAACTACCTTCTTTTTTATTATTTTTGGGACTGTTTCTTACTATTTAGCTAAGAATGGCTTAGCAGTCATTACATAGGCCAGACTGACCTTGAATTTATATTAGTTCCTTCTGTCATTGACTGCTGAGTTCTAGTACTACAGGTATGTACCACCATCCTGGTATCTTTCACATTTTTCTTCCCTTTTTAAAAAGAGGTAGGTAGGGTTAGTATGCAGCTCATGATGACCTAAATTTACAGGAAAAAGCAATCCTCCTTCCTTAGCTTCCTCATTCACTGAGAATCAATTTTAAAGCCATCACTCTTGTCATTCTTTGCATTTGATAGATTTAAAGTAAGAGTTCTTATATGTATTCCTGGGTAGTGTGAAACCGCCTATGTAGATCAGGCTGGTCTCAAAATGATGTTAATCCTCTTATATCTGCCTCTTTAGTGATGTGTATTTCAGACGAACACCACCTATGTGGCTTCTGTCTGACCTTTTTACCAGGACACACATAGTGTCAATACTGGAAGCGTTAGAATAATGTGAGTCAGGTTGTGTTTTATCCTCCAATCCTGTGCTTCTGCTTCAAGTGTTGCTTTGGCTATTATACATGCTTTGCATTCAGTATGAATTTTAAAATCAGCTTCTTTCCATTTCTGCCAAACATCTTGCTGGTGCTCTCATTGATATTACATTAGCTCTATAGACAAATTTTCAGAAATTGACATAATCTTTGCACAACCTATATCTCTCCAGTTTCTTAAATCTCACTTAGTTTCTGTCAGCATCATTATGATTTTCATTGAACATGTTACTTGCATCCTTAGGTAAATGTGTGCTTGTATATATAATTTTTGTGTAGATTTTGTAAAGAATTGGCTATTGATATTTAAATGTTAATGTAAAATTGCTTGGATGTAGATATATTGACATTTCTATATAAATCTTGTGTCATTATGTTGTGTTTTTTTCAGAAAGTAAAATGTTTTTTAAATTTTATATTAGTACAAAATCCTGTTAATTAAATTTATTGCTGATGTAGAAGCTCTGTTTTTACAGAATGGTAATTGCTTTGCAATGAAATGAAGTTTGGGTTGAGGGTATTCTCTTTTGCTGTTAGCCAGTGAAGCAGGCCCAAAGTAGAATTTTTTAGCCTCATTTTCTGCAGTGATATTTAAGTATTTGTTTTTAATTTTTATTTTAAAATTTTATACAATAAATTGTGATCATTTTCTTTCACCTCCTCCCAAATATTCTCCCAGCTCACAACCTAGGCTTTTCTATCTTAAAAATACTAGGAATACATACAAACACACACATACATATACACAGAATGCCTTGGAGTCCATTTTGGTTTTGTGCTGGCCTGCTCTGGATTAAGTTTGATATACCCAGTGTCACTCCTTCGAAGAAAACTGATTTTCTCTGAGTTGATATAAATTACAAATAGTTTCTTTATCAGAAGTAGGACATTGAGCCGGGCAGTGGTGGCACTCGGAGGCAGAGGCAGGTGGATCTCTGTGAGTTCGAGGCCAGCCTGGGCTACCAAGTGAGTTCCAGGAAAGGCACAAAGCTACACAGGGAAACCCTGTCTC